TTAATACAAGATGCATTTGGGAGTTGTATACTATTTCTGTCGAATATTACCATGTACAATGATTCAATGGTATCCATGGCATATACATTGTTTTCAAATTAAGAAAATGAAATTTAAAAGAAAGCATGAGAAATTTAACGTACTTTGATAACCTCGCACGTCGGTCGGTGTCCTTTATAAAAATAATAAAGGACGATTTAACCTTTAATGCGAACTCATCATCGATTATGAATAGGTACTGAAAAGGAGTCTCCAGTGCTTTGAAAACAGTTTTACGGGCATTACAATATTTACCAAGTCAGTTAGTTTTATGGACAAGACAGATCTCCTGTCAGCTATGAGATGGCATTAACTAAAGGTAAAGATTGATCACATTGATGCTTGTACCTAGATGATATAAAAGGTGTCTACTTTTGGTTGCAAGAAACTTTTTCAGTACTAATTGTTACCTTCAGTTCTATGATAGCATTTTAACCATCAATCAAAATTTTAATGAATGTCCTGTCAATCACTAAATGACATTTCGAATTACGTTCGTTAGGGTGAACTTTACTAGTTAGAATTACTTTCTTTAAAATATATGCGTATCAGATTGATTTTTGTTTAGCTCCAATTTGTACACATTTTTTTTTCTCAATGATATTCGTATTTGTTAATCTTGTTATTTCGTGAGTTATTTTCTTACGCTCTTACGCCTAAATATCTCAATCGATTATGATGAATTTTGGTATAGAGATAGATAGATAGATAAAGACAACTATATTTTTGTCACCAAAATTAATCATGAAGGGGATGAAAGGGGGCTAAATTTGTAAAGTTGTTGTTGTGTGTAATAAAAAATAAATTGGGACTCACGCTAGTAACTAAAGAAACAGAGAAATATAAAAGTTTTAACTTCGGGTTTCAGATTATAATGTGACAAACATTGATGAATTAAATATAACTAGCAAACCAGTAAACCAAATGTTCACCAAAACCTGATTTCTCGAAAACCGGAAGTGCTACGTTACTCAAATCCGGTTTCTAGTCTTATCAGACTATTCTTAACTTATAACTTAAATATTCTCTTTATCTATCTCTTACGGTTTGGCCGCTGAAACAGCACCACAGACAGACGGACGGACTTGTCTAATAGATAAGAGATTTTAAAATCTTTTGTTTATTTTTGAACTTTAAATTTGGTTTTGCTAACGAAAAACCTTTGACCACTTGTCTTGTCATGGCCCATTCGCATATGGTTGAATCTTGAGAGGCTCAATTTTCGCTGTCCGGAGGAAAAGAGTACCCGTTATATTAAAACAAGTGTCCAAAATATCATTGTTATGCTACTATAATGTGTGATCTACTTAGGCACGATAATTATTATGTCTCATTTAGGTAGAAATACTAAAAAAAAACCTAATGGACTAATGTTTCATAATGTCTGATAACCCCTGGCGCGTCCGTTTCACATTTTGTGGACAAACTACCAGCAAAACACCAACCTATTAACGAAAATAGGCTAATTGACCCTTTTTGAAAAAAGGTTTTAAATGGTTATTAAATGTTCTATTATACCGAAAAAAAATGTATTGTATTTTTTGAGACCTAGAAAGCTAAAAATCTTTATTTTTAAAATAAACTTTTCATGGACATACAAAAACGCTGTCGGACATTTTAGTCTATAGATTATCTATGCTATGACGTCAACCGGTAGTAAATAAAAACTCGTAAACACGTAGAAAATAACCTATCTGAGTTTATAATAAAAAAACATGATTTCTAATAAATACCACGAAAAATATAGAAATAATCATTATTGTATTGTACGAGAATGTAAAAACACATCCTTGAAGACTCCAGGAAAGTTGTGGATTAAAGTGCCGAAAGAAATTAACCTACGCAATACCTAATTAGAACTTGCTTAAAGGGATCCTGCAACTTTATCGACTCATAGTAAAATTTATTTTTGCGAATATCACTTTGATGTAAGTACTCATTGAATAATATTATAAGTCTCTTCATTTATTATCAGTTTTAATAACACAAGTTTTAAGGTTATGTATGAATAACATTTAGTTGTTTACTACCAAAGAGACGTCACAATCATGGCGAACAGCGATATGAATAGTATTTTTAAGATTAAATTTCTACACCAATATTCTGCTTTTATGAAGTGAAATCGATATATTTAGGTTCCTTAGACCAAATACTTTAAGAAATAAACATTTATTTAATACAATTCGACATGAGTCAACTAGCCTATTAAATATGTAGATAATGAGATTTGAGCTATAGCGTATTAGTTTTGATTTATAAAAAAAAATGTATATTGCATGTATTTGTCATAGTTTCATTTTGAATTATAATATAAAGTCTGTCCGGAGCTAAACGATGATTCCACTGGCGCGTCACAATAGTTTGCGTACACCTGTTGTGAAATGTTCTGGAGGACTGGTTCCACTTTGTTGCGTGAGCTCTAGTAGTGCTTCAATTCAATTCAATTCAATTCATTTATTTCAGCCATTTAGCCATTATAAACCACATAAAATAACAATAAATAAAATAAACAAGAATAATAATTATAAAAGCATACAAATTACAATCAAAAATACAATAAATACAAAATTAGAAATGTCAACAACAAAATAATTCAAATAAATACAAAATTACAATGTCAATAAAAATAATTACAAAATTAACATTAAAAATTCATAATAACTACATTATTAAGTTATTGCATTTCATTACATTTTACAAGTACAGTTGTCCAGTGATTACTTATAGGACACTCGTACCTGCCCCCTACAACCTTCAAGATGTTATTGTGGCTGTCGTAAACTCTCTTCATGAGAGAGGTAACTTTTTTGCGCATTATTGCGTAGAAATCATTTGTTCGCGCTTCGGCAAACATACCTGACGCGCTGCAGCGCCACGGCAGCCCCAACAACATTCTGAAAGCATTATTATACTGTACACGTAGTGCGGCTGCCAGTGTAAAAAGATTGGCAGAAAGCCTTAAAAAGGGTTAACTTAACTGGCTCTGAAGACCGTGCAAACCTACGGGCGATCATGTTGCTTCTGACCGCCAACGCCCTACGCTCTCGCTCAATATCTTGGTCAACCTTCAGGTCTTCCGTTAAAATATGGCCCAGGTATCTGTACTGCTGAACCCTCAACAACTCCTCCCCGCATAGCCTGACAGGAGGCACATTTTGTGGAGAATTGTTACCCGCGGTAAAAACCATTATCTCACTTTTTGTAGTGTTATATTTTAGCCCGTGAACTTTCGCATAGGTCTCACACACGTGCAACAAACTCCGGAGCGCACTGATCGACGGGCTCAGCAGCACCATATCGTCCGCGTAACTGATGTTGTTGAATCAGTTAACAGTCGCGATTAACGCCATCGATCGAACATCCCGCATGCATGCTGCTGAGCTCACGGACCAGCTGGTCCACGTAAAGGTTGAAAAGCCTAGGAGAGGTCAACCCCCCCTGTCTCACCCCGCACTCCAACCCGTATTCCTCCGATAGGTCGTCCCCCCATCTCACACAATTTACCTGATGCTCATACCAGTGCCTGAAGATGCCTGTGAGCTCAGACGGGAGATTCACCCCATCCAGTTTATTCCATAACACTGGATATGACACCATATCAAAAGCTTTTGACAGATCTAAGAAGCACGGATACACTGGCGTGCTTCTGTCCGTGTAGTATCTAACGGTGCTCTTAAGCGCCAAGATGGCACTCTCTGTCGATAACCCTTTTTGGAAACCAAATTGGGCATCGTGCAGATTAATGTGGTCACTCAAGCGACGATCAAGAACACCGTCAAGCACCTTAGCTGTTATTGTTGCCAATGAAATGGGTCTATAATTGGTTTTATCGGATGAGTCTCCCGTCTTGTTTTTGATAATAGGTACAACTATAGTTTTCATCATAGGTGGTGGCAGGTACGAGTGTCGTATGCATAGATTGAAAATAAGCGCTAACACCCTCGGTAAGTGAGCCCCAGCATGTTTAAAATGTTCAATGCTTAAGCCATCATGACCAGAAGATTTACCCCTGGTCATCTGTTCAATGACCTTCGCAACTTCTTTAGCAGTTATAATCACTAGAGGCATGCCGGAAGCCTTATGTTTCTTTGCAGTAGTCACGTTACTCACTACTTTCACACACTGCTGGGGTGTACTGTGCTGCTCGATATTCCAGAACAAAATTACAAAGGAACACATTTGATACCTCTGGTTTTGATTCACTAAATTGGTGATTACCCTGACCACTTTTAAAAATGTTATTAGATTTTTGGGATTGTTTGATTTATGTTTTCATAAAATCTTTCTGTTAACATTGTTTATATATTTTATTCAATATGTAAAATAAATAGAACTTTTAGCACAATCGATAAAAACGTCTACTATTTTGATTTGATATGTGTTGGTCCCCTTGGTATTTCACCAAGGTAATCAACGTTTCTCGAATTTATTTTGTTATACGTTTTCATAGCATATCGTGCTCAAAAGTATAAAATAAACTATTATATGAAGAGCATTGGGTGCTAGACAGCAATTTTACTAAAACCTGAGTTTCTTTTAAAGTTGTTTTGCTTTTAGTTATTTTAATCAAATTTAAGGATAAAAGGCTGATAAGTTTTATTGTACAAAAAAAACATGCATATTCTATGATTTTCATACCCTTCTTGCTGTCATTTCTAGATTCCCCTGTCACACAAAATGTAACTTGATTTAGCTTCGGAACCAGTCGGCCAAAAATGATGCCTATTAGATAAATATGCTAATAATAATATAGTAAATTTATTTATACTTATTACCTGTTTGCTTAAGAGTGTAAAAATAAATTGCGCCATGGGAATCAACTAAATAATCCGAATCTCAGGATTTGCGCATACTTGTACATAAAGTTATTTATTATTTAAGTTCTGTCTATTCCGTAAGTAAGTAAGTAAACATATGTACAATTTGTACTTTATTATTAAATGAATTTCTTTATTTTCCAGGATCATTACCTGTAACATCATTTGACGAGAAAAACAAAGATCATTGGCACATTCAAGCACAATGGACCCTCAAAAACAAGGCAAGTCACATATATCATTTTATTATAATTCTAATGAATAAATCAATAAATAAATATTTCTAACACTCACACCAATTAGCCTAGCCCCAAAGTAAGCCCTGGCTTGTTTTATGGGATACTAGGTAGAGTAATGGATAAAATACATATACTGATACATATATAAGTATATTTATATAGAAATACATATTTAACATCCATGACTGGAGTAAAAATGCTTGTATTCATCACACAAACATCTGCCCCCACCGGAATTAGAACCCGGGACCTCTCGAGAAGGCGACACCTTGAAACCACTCGGGCACAGCCACTTAAAAATAACAATTTATATAAAGGTTTTCCTGTAAAGGATGCGAAACGTCAATAAATAAATAAAATCACTGCATCTATACCATTGAAACTTGTTTTATTTAAGTTTTGTTGTATTCCACGTGCCGTATTAATTATAATATTATTCACAGTGCAAGTGTTACAAATGCCATGACCTTTATATTGACTATACGATTTAAGAAGATTCTGTCATTTTTAGGCGCCACTGATAATCGAATAAATACCATCTTTATGATGGAAAATGTTAGAAATTCGATTGTCGCTATAGCCAGGTACATTCATATTTGATCTTGACAGTATCAAATATGAATGTACTATCGAGCAAATTGATTCATGAACCACATTTCAAAACAGACAATTTTTCTTTTATAGAGAATGTGTTTGCACTTAGCACCTTTTAATAATAGGGGACTGTGTTTAAATGGGTCAAAGATCTTTGATATTTGCTTTTAATGCAATAGATATAGTAAAAAACGTTATCTACAAAAGTGTAGACAAAAAGAACTCACAAACATAACTGATTCCATTCGTTGATTCCGAACTTTATGTGCGTGTTCGAAGATGAAATAGAGTAGAGTCACTGGCGAAATTTCGTTTAAAATTCGTTCGTTGCCCAAATTTCGTTTCGGAGAAAGAGAGTAGAGCTCCTGGCTACAATCGAGTTTCGATTACTGTCAATGCTAATGATCAACGTGGCATTTTATGTACTTTAAGCTATTCAAACGCAGAATTTATTGTGGAAGTTCGCCCCTTCGACGCTGTTAAGTGTTCAGCAGCAAATTTTCGGAGATGGTAAATTCTTAATCTTGATGTTGTAAAAACATACGCTTATGGTGGATCAGCAGTCAAATTGGCTAATAGTACCTGGCTACAGGGACAATCGAATTTCGATTACTGTCAATGCTTATGATCTACATGGCATTGTATGTACTTTAAGCTATTCAAACGCAGAATTTATTGCGGAGGTTCGCCCCTTCGACGCTGCTAAGTGTACAGAAGCGAATTTTCGGAGATAGTAAATTCGTAATCTTGATGTTTGTCCGTCTTTGCTACAAAATCAGTTAATGAAACAAGTAGTGTCGAAAATATTTATTTCAAAGTATACTTATAAAGGTACCTAAATGTTTTTAAACTTAACATTATTTTCCGTATCATACAACGACGGTTAGTTATAGCGTCGATGTTGCGATCAGTGTTGTTTTCCAGTAACAATAGAATAGAATAGAATATATTTTATTAACCCTCATTTATACATTTATAGATACAAATTCTAAAATCTCAGGGCTAACTAGGACCCCCACGCTCAAGTAGCCCTCCGCAGCGGACGGGGGGCGGTACGGTGGGCACTAGGCCGCGTACTCAGCCCCCATGGGCGGGCGATCCTGCGCACATCTGTGAAGTCCCCGCGATACCCCGGGAGACCCCTGCCGCGGAGCCCTGGCAAGGCCCGGAGGCTGCTAGGTGCGGAGACGCGGAAGAATTCCTAAACGGGGATCCCGCGGCTTCGCGCTAAGCAGCTTAGAGGGTATTCGCAGGATTTTTAGCGCATATTAAGCCGTAAAGCACCCGTAAGGGTTACGGGGTCCTCGGTGGGCAGCCACTGCTGGGGCTCGTAAGGCTTGCGGAAGCCAGGTGTGAGGTCCGTTCGGCGGTATGCCTCTTAAAGGCGCCGTCGTCTATAAATAGTATTTTTTGCCTGCGTATATATAAAAAAAAGGGCTTACTAGGACCCTGCCTCAGCATTAGCTGATGCGATGCGACATTGTGTTACACCAGCTGTTATTCTGGCAGGGCCTGTTTAGTGTACGCAATCCGGTTATATAACCGGTTTGCCGACCTCCGTGGTCGAGTGGTTTGTACGCCGGGTTTCATGGTGTCGCCGACCCGAGAGGTCCCGGGTTCGAATCCCGGTGGGGGCATATGTTTGTGTGATGAATACGAGCATTTCTACTCCAGTCATGGATGTTTAATATGTATTTCTATATAAATATACTTATATATGTACTGTAAATGAATTCTATCCGTTAACCTAGTATCCCATAACACGAGACTTACAGTGCTTACTTTGGGGTTAGGCTAATTGGTGTGAGTGTTGGAAATATTTATTTTATTTTATAATATATAAATATTGCTAGTGTATTTAGTGCCTATAACAGTTTTCGAGAATACCCTGTAAATTGACAGGTTTCACTTTAAGGAAAAGTTAACTACTGACACATTGTTTTGTTTTTCTTTCGGTCCCAGACTGATCCTGCTATTCCGAAAGAACTAATTTACTTTTCACCGCGTACAAACATACAAACTTTCACATTAATACTTATATTATTAATGTGAAAGTTTGTATGTTTGATTTACTGAATCACGCAAAAACTACTGAACGGATTTGTATGAAATTTGGCGTGCATATAGTTAATTACCTGGATTGTAGCATACAATACTTTTCATCCCGGAAAAATGACAGGTTCCTGTGGGATTTTCAAGATATCAAAGTTAATGCGGATGAAGTCTAGTTAGTTTCAAATAAATTTCAAATCACACCTGTGATTTCCACGTTGAAAAGTCAGTTTGTTCTAACGGATTAGCACGGCAGCATAGAAGACCATAGTCTTCCAAACAGAATGTGATTATGAAATCATCGCTAGTTGAATTTGTTTTTATTATAGAAATAAAATTATATTATAACGCAAGCGTCAATTCTTATTGTTAGATTTATTTATTTATTTATGGAACATCAACACAGCTATTTTTGATCGAGAGGGAGTACTACCACAAAATAGTACAGAAGGTAGATACATACAAAGTGCGCTTGAGCAACGCACACGGTTTCTGTGTCATAGACAACGCTCACGGATACGATATCACGGACCAGGCTGAGCGTGAGTTCCATCCGGTAGAGAAACTGTGCACTTTTGGACGTGATAACGTCTTATAAATCGATGAACACCGGCTGCACGCATGAAAAAGTGTCACATATCGCGGCCAAAGCGGAGCCAAACTCGGGAGCTATTTGAATTAAACAGTTAATTGTATTTTTTTTATTTGTAACTATAATTTATAAATGCATATACTTACTTTAGTCATTGTTAATTTATATTTCCATTCCTTCTGTTTCATTCTCAACGATAAATCAAATAACCCACCACAATTTTTTTGTGCACAAGCCAAAGTTGACTATCCTAGCGCGACTGTCGAGCGCGGGTATGAAAATTGAAGAACATACATGAGATTACCTTCTGTACTATCATATTGTGGTACTGCCAAAATTCTCAATAGTCGCGCCATCGTCTTCAATTCTGTCGAATATATCAAGCAAATCGAAATGTCTAAGATTTTATCTATACAAAAAATTTTTGATAGGTATCAGCTCCTCTGAAAACCGGCCTCGCAAAAAACGTAATCTTGTTCATCGGTGATGGAATGAGTATCACCACCCTGGCTGCGACAAGGTCGTACTTGGGACAAAGGTATGGCCGGCAAGGGGAGGAGCTGAAACTCAGCTTCGAAGCTTTCCCATACACCGGACTTTCAAAGGTAATTAAAATTAATATCTCAGTTACTTAAAAAGGAAATTATGAAAAATAACTGCTTCTAAACATGCTTGGATAATTTAATATTATTTGAAAACCTTCTTCGAGATAAACCGAAATTGCCGTAATACTGTGATTTCGCCACATGAGTAAAGAAACGCAATCGTGTGGATTTAGCCCACCAAATAAATTACATAGTAAACCGCATTCACATGCTCAAAATTTGCTTTGATTGCTTTGGTGAAGGTTGTTTTTTATCTCTGTTGTGGCGGGAGGGGGGGGGGGGGGACAACCTCGCCTGCCCTGCCTTAAATCTGGCCTTGTGCTTAAAGATTACTTTGACAGTAAAAACTCGACGGACGATGTGGACTATAGTTTCTGCTTTCGAGCTTCTATTATAAACCTTCATCTTGAATCATTATCTATTACATATATATATCCTTTCACATTTATAATATTACACAAAGATTATTTAGTAATATTTCATCTCCACAGCATCTGCTAGATGCTGGGTGTGAGTGTAGATCAGTTGTAAAGAAAGCTGAAAAGCAGATATGTGTATATTTTCAGCCTTACTGCGTTGATCAGAACGTGGCTGATTCCGCGTGCAGCGCCACAGCGTACCTCAGCGGGGTGAAGGCCAACTATGGGACCGTTGGCCTCAGTGCTGCTGTTAAGAAGGGAGACTGCGAGGGCCAAAAGCAAGGCACCCACTCCGTTACTGGCCTAACAGATTGGGCGCAAAAGGCTGGCAAAAAAACCGGTAATATATAACTAATGTTTTATTGATCCTTGAATTTGACAAGATCCATGATCACGCTGAACGAGGTGAAGGCCAACTATGGGACCGTGGGCCTCAATGCTGGCGTCAAGAATGGGGACAGCGAGGGCTAGAAGCAAGGCAACCACTCTGCACACTGGCCTAACAGATTGGGCGCAAAAGGCTCGGAAAAAAACTGGTAATGTATAATATTATACGGAACAATTGATTAATCCTTGAATTATGTCAGAATATTGGCATGCCCATGGACCAAGAACGACAGACCAATCCCAACATAGGCTAGGTCCATGATCATGCTCCATGGGTGAAGGGACCGTGGGCCTCAGTGCCGCCGTTAAGAAGGGGTACTAAGAGGGTCAGAAGCAAGGTACCCACTCCGTCACTGGCCTATCAGATTGGGCGCAAAAGGCTGGGAAAAAAACTGGTAATGTATATAGTTAATAATAATAATAAATATTTTCAACACTCACACCAATTAGCCTAGCCCCAAAGTAAGCACTACAAGGCTTGTGTTATGGGATACTAGGGTAACGGATAGAATACATATATTGTATAAGTATATTTATATGGAAAATACATATTAAACATCCATGACTGGAGTACAAATGCTCGTATTCATCACACAAACATCTGCCCCCACCGGGATTTTAACCCAGGACCTCTCGAGTCGGCGACACCATGAAACCCGGCGTACAAACCACTCGGCCACAGAGGTCGGAGGGGGAGTTATACGGAACAGTTGTTTAATCCTTGAACTGTGTCAGAATACTGGCATTACCATGGACTCAGAATGACACACCGATCCTAACAATGGCTAGGTTAATAATCATGCCCAGCGGGGTGGGGCAAACTATGGGACCGTGGGTCTCAGTGCCGCTGTCAAGAAGGGGGACTACTAGGGCCAGAAGCAAGACACCCACTCCATCATTGGCCTCGCGGATTGGGTGCAGAAGGCTGGCGAGAAAACTGGTAATGTATATATGTTACGCTCAAAGATCGAAAACGCTCAGTGAGCGGAAAAATAGCTCACAACGCGTTGTGGTCACAGTAAAACATCCACATCGCGAAATTCGTGATATGGCTATAATGAAAACGCGCACGACGCGTTGTGGCAATCACAGAAAGACCAAATAGCGAAATTCGTGTCGTGGCTGACATGCTATTCGATCTCAACGCTTTGTGGCAATGAAGAAAAGCCATGACGCGTATGGAATATTATTTAATTACGACGCACATTACTTTCCGATATGGATCCTACTAGGCCTAGGCTGGAAACGTTTTGGTAGATCTTCTTTAGGAAATATTTTATAAAATCACTGCATAGCGTGTTTGTCATTATTAAATATGTTATATAATTATATTAACTAAAATAAAACGATATTTGTTATTTATTGAGATTGCTTTATATTTAAAAAAATCAACGTATTAAGTAATAAATTACTGAACACAAAATATTAATCAATTGTAAATAACTTATAATTAATTCACTTAAAATAATTAGGGATTTTAATTTTTTTATGACAATTTAAAATTCTTCCAAGTAATAAAAATATTTTCACAAACATAAATGTTTATTGATCACCAATAAACAACAACAATGTACTTAAATCAAAACTTATATTAGAAATTACTATAATTGTGAAAAATAAGTATTTGATTGCTATTTATTTTTATAGGAACTCTTAATGTGGTATTTTGAGTTGCATTTTATATTATTGGAGCGATACTTGCACTTTTTATCAATACATTATCTTTTGCAGTGGTACATTATAAACCCTTTCTTACTTCCAGATGATAACATAGATGCTGAGCGAAGTGTTAATGACGAAGTTGAGGGCACATCACAAAAGTTAATAAAGTTGGTTTCAGAAAGTGTAAACTCATTACGTGCATAAAGTCTATCGAATGTACCTTCCTTGTTTCCTAACTGGTAGAGACCTGATGAATTAATGATCATAACAACACACATAACATTCCTGGGTGCTGCACGTCCTCTATCAACTTACAACCTGTCCGTCGTGATATGGTTAAAACAATGAATGCTCAGAACGCGTCATGGCTTTTCTTCATTGCTACAACGCGTTGAGATCGAATAGCATGTCAGCCAATTTCGCTATTTGGTCTTTCTGTGATTGCCACAACGCGTCGTGCGCGTTTTTATTAGAGCCATAACACGAATTTCGCGATGTGGATGTTTTACTGTGACCACAACGCGTTGTAAGCTATTTTTCCGCTCACTGAGCGTTTTCGATCTTTGAGCGTAACATATATACTAAACACTTGATTGATCCTTCATTAGCCTATATTCGGGTACACGAAAGACATTACTTTATTAACACTGGAATAGGGGCTGGAAGACGGTGTCGGGTAAATAAAAGGAAATCTACCTGTATACGGGCGTACTCGAATCCATTCATTTACACTTAGTCGATTACCCGAATTTAATTGGTACTCGTATTCGGACTAGCAACCATTAGGCTATCGATATGACCACGGACTAAAAAACACTAGTACGTGCTAGTTCATTATTTTTAAATTATTAAATTTCTTTTTTTATAAATAGTAAATATAAATCAGCTTGCTTTTAGAAATTTAAACTATTAATCATAAATTTTAATAATAACTAATATATTTATTTTTTTTATTTTTAAGCATTTAACTGCTAGATGTTTAAATCTAATCTAATAACTATAATTGCTGTTTCTTCTTTCAAATGTTTAATACTTGAAAAAGTATTCATTTGTGTTGTGGGTTACCTACAATGTGAAGAGATGGCGCTGCCTTGTAGCTTAAGGCTAGGAAAAATTCGAGGCGGCCATCTGGGCCGTGGTAGCATAATTGGTCATGTATGACGACCTCCGTGGTCGAGTGGTTTGTCCCGAGTTCGAATCCCGGTGGGGGCAGATGTTTGTGTGATGAATACGAGCATTTGTACTCCAATCATGGATGTTTAATATGTATTTCTACATAAATATACTTATATATGTACTGTATATGTATTCTATCTGTTACCCTAGTATCCCATAACACAAGCCTTACTTTGGGGCTAGGCTAATTGGTGAGAGTGTTGGAAATATTTATTATTATTATTATTATTATTCGCCCGGATTGCGAAGGGCGCGGGTTCGAGTCCCGTCCGCTGCCTGGTTCGTGTGGACTTTTTTTTCTAGTAAAACTTTTCTTTAGAACTAATATATTGCTTATTAAATTTCTAGATAATACCAACCTCGCACAGTGTAATAAGGACGATGTGAATATATGCTTCCAGTGGAAACTTTCTATTGTTAAGAATTATTTGCGCATAACTCGTTTCTTGGTAGCGTACATAATAAACGTATACATACATGTTGAGCCAAATAGTCGGATTATTATTCCACTTCCACTCGAGTCTGGGGAATATTATCATACATAATTATTCTAATGTTCAACCAGATGTTATTAAATATTATAAATATAGTCTCATATTTATAATATATATCATATGTTTACTCAGCTTACCAAATAAATAATACCTTATTAATAGAATAAATAAATAAAAGAAATATTGTAACTAAATATCTATATCCTGAATGATGTAATTGAAAAGGTGACTTCAGAAGTATATCTGAAGTCATTTTTCAACTTGACGACTCTGTATATATCAATACAGGAAGAAAAAGCAGCCCTTGCTGAGTTTCTTGCCGGTTCTTCTCAGTACAAGGTCTCCCGCCGTAGTTTTGCAAAACGATGGCGTAGCTTCTTGACCTTCACAAGTGCTTGTAACAGCCTAGACTGAATTAATGACTTTTCATTTCATTTCAATAAGTAATGATTTGAGATAGGAATAATGAAATGAGCTGTATGCATTTATGAATTTATAATGCAACAAATACACGAACAAAGGCGCCTTATTGGATAGTTAACCTAAACAGCTTTGTCTATACCAAAACATAATGATACTAAAAATAAAACCTTTAATAAAGATTTTGAAACAGGTTTCTTGTTGCGAAAATTAAAACATCCAAATAATGTTGTGCTAAATTAAATAATAAAACTTCTTTGCTTTTAAAATTAAGTACATTACTGCAGCGGAATGCAAATTGGGACAGGCATTGATGGACGAACGTCATGTAAATGTGAGCCCAGGTGAAGGCAGTCCATCAATACGTCTTTTGCTGGCCGCTGCAGTAATATACTTAATTTAACTAAGTAGTACCAGGGCAGAACTTTGGAAATACTGGAAAATCAATGACGAGCAACGAACAACATTAATTTTTAATCCATTTGTTTTGTTTTCATAAATTTGGATTTGATTGGATTATGAAATAAAAAATTGTGTGTGTCAGCTCGACGAATGGAGTTTACTCCTTAAGTTCGATAGTCTAACCAGACGCAAAAAGAGTTTATTTAACTTAAAAAGATTGATACTGTATGAAAGGGTAAATTAACAAATTAATGAAAATAATATACATATATATATTATATATATTTATTCATTTCATATACATTTATTATAACTAATCGACGAAATATTTTACATTACACTTTTTACAATAGTCAATTTCAGATGTGCATAAATATATCATTAGGAATGTTGATAAATTATGTAATTATTATTATCAGACTATTACCATTTTTTTAAATATTAATTAAATCAAAATTGTCTGCATTATTAATTACAGTGACAAGTGGTTTATGGTAACTAAAACAAGACACTTGGACGTTCGTAGATACGTGGTTCACGAATCTTGAAAATACCGCATCAATGGTCGTACCATACCTCGTTGTCCCCATTGCTCTATCAGAAACAATATCTTAATTCAGTTCAGATTTAAAAAAAAATATTAATGTCAATCCGTCATCTTTGTTTGTCAAAGTTGCGCGACAAAGGATGCGCACCAAAAACGTAACGAGGTCATTCATCGATAGATTTTACTTCTCACATTTTTCTCATACCGGGCCCCTTATATATGCAAATCGATTCTTAAGGAGTAAACTCCAAAAATATTTTTTTCAAAATCCAGTTCGAAATTTAAATAAAACCTTTGATTAGTCACCTCCTTGGATGCCTGTATTACAGTAAAAGATCGTTCCATTTTTAAATTTCACGACAGATATGAGTTTTTTTTTTATTTGCCCCTCAACACAACATATTATATGGATTTTCATACAAGATTTGCCGGCCGCTGCTCGCAAGCATGTGGCCAGTACAGCTATTTCGATTTATCTCGAAGAAGGTTGTCAAAATAATGCTTACATTTCCAAGCGTCTTACGTTTGAGAAAAAAAAAACATTGTAATTCACGCGCGTTTTACTACCTCACCGCCGAATCTTTTCGTGAATTTTAAGTTCTTAGACCGCCCCATACTTTCCGATTTTTTATAGAGAATTCATATTATGAGTGTAGATAAAGTCTTGTCGCACCTGCTATAATTAGGTATTAAAACACTCATGTGATACTATTATCACACTAGGCTTTGCCTCATGTTTTAATACCCCTCATAACACAACTGTTGCATAAATAACTATTACGTAATGTGTTCAGTAGCTTTTCTCTTCAACATTCGCTAAAATTTAAGCCGATTTTGTTTTTGAATTCGATAACCTAAAGGTACGCTTCAGAATTCCTTCATAAAAGAGTCGGGAGGGGTCGTCGGCGTAGAACCTTTATAGATCAAATTAGTAATCGGCCCAATAAGGTTCACGTGACGCATCAAAAACCGACGAACTGAAAGTGCGTCTTGACTGTAGTAGCGCGTAGAGAACATATATTATACACAGCCTGTAGGTAATCTAATTCCAACGGATGTAAAATGTATGCAGATTCAGTCTAGTTACGAACTCTGGAACCTAACTCATCGACTAAATCACGTCACTCAAATATAACATAATTTAATTGTGCCCTTCACTAAAATATAGGTCACCTTCACCATGCAAGCTGAAATACGCTATGCAGGGCATAGCAGATTTCAGATACATTAATAAAATTACCAGTGGATTTTGTTAGATTGGACCTTTCACTTCATTCCTAGGCTTCCAAAACCATGCCTCGTTGCAGAAAAACTATCATCAAAGAAATTAAATCACTGTTATAATTGCGAATATACATATTACTGAATATAAATAGTACTAAATAAAATGGCAAACCATAATAGTTGCATAATTTTAAAATAATAGCGATCCACCTAGCCAGCGAAGCCTAGCTTTGCACTTTGTAAACTTGATTTTTACGAGATAAAATATGACTTATATTTTCGAATCCGTCCAGGCTTTTCAGTTTTTTTCATTACAAAGATACAAGAATACAATTCTTTCCTCTTTATAATTAAGTGTAAACTCAATGCCATGTTAACATTGTAGGTGTGGTGACCACAACGCGAGTGACCCACGCCACCCCGTCGGCTGCGTACGCCCACTCGGCTGACAGGAAGTGGGAGTCGGACACCAACTTACCCAAACACGGGCCTAGGTGCGAAGACATCGCGACCCAGCTGGTTCGAGGGGCTGTAGGAAGTAAAATCAATGTAAGTCTAAAATATGTCCTATTGGAAATTGAAAAATAAGGTTAATTTATAGGAACCTGCCAAGATTAGTTTCAAGCCAGGAGTTGTAAGTCTAATTCCTACGACTTTGTAAGGGCGTACGAGTGTAGTTTGATCCCAACTTGCTCAAATACGAAGACATCGCGACACAGCTGGTCCGAGAGGCGGTTGTGTGTCTCATCATCATCAGCCGATTGACGACAATTGCTGGACATAGGCCTCCTTTAAGGATTTCGAAACACAACCTTCTTTTGACGGACATACTGACGACATCAAGTGTATAGGGCGCCCCAGATTCGCGTGATGTCGTCAGTCCACCTAGTGAAAGTTCTACCGAGACTGCGCTTTCCGGTGCGAGGTCGCCCTTGAAGCACTTTGGGCCCCAAGGACTATGTGAGTCTCAAATATCATATAGATTACGGTTACACTTTAAGCGCCAAGATTTGTGTCAAGTTGTAAGTCAACTTCCTAGGTGTGATAATATGCATAAGTGGTGAAACACTTATCTACTCTAACACGGACTCGAACATTTTTTTTTATGGCTACGTAGGCAAATGACTCTACCCCACTTGATGTTAAGTGGTGATAAAGTCCAAACGCGAAGATAGCTGGTACAGCAGTTATAAACTGCTATACCAACCATTCTCGCCTTGCCGGCCTGCAAAAATGCTTATTCACGCCTCGCTTAAAGGACCCCAGATTAGAGGAAGCAGGGTGGGGACACGTGCGCGGGTAAATAATTCCACTTACTAATAGTACGACAAAGAAATGAGTCACCAAATTTCTTTGTTCTTGTAGAAATAGTGGCCACAGTAAGTCGGTGGCAAGGTAGGCCAGCGCGCGTGGTCCTTTGAAGAAAAGGTGATACAGGGATAAGGGAGAATAACTCCTCAGAACACTTGCCGTGGTATAGTCGGTAGAATGCGCTTAATGATGCCACATCGCGGCGTAATTGTAGAGACTCGAGTTTCTTAGTTACCTCTTCATCGCCAATGATGCGGGCAGCGCGCCGCTGCAACCTATCCAAGGCATCGAGTAAGTACTTAGCGGAGCCATCCCAGAGATGCGAGCAATATTCCACGCAGGACCGCACTTGCGTTTTGTACAACAAGCACAGTTGATCGGGCAGGATCGAGTTTGCGTGAAGCTGTTTTGATCACGGTTCTGATGTAGTACTTTGGATTCAGGTCTGAGCGAACTTCCATACCAAGCATGGTAATGTTGCTCTGTAGCGCCAGTGTCGTGCCCTGAAGAGATGGAAGGGGAAGGAATGGCGATGTTGTTGCCGTGAAAGCGCAAGCCTGAGTTTTCTTGGCATTAAACTCTACCAAGTTCCTGGTACCCCCTGTACCTGTATTCGGAAATGTGGTTCAAAGCCTGATTGAGTTCAGCGACAAGATTCTCCCGTTTCTCCTTGGTTTCTACCTGTCCAGCCGCTGCGTGTCCAAAGTATCTCGCATGCACTGTACTATCGTCTGCATAGCAATGAATATTCGCAAGTGGAATCAAATCATTGATATGCAGCAAAAAACACCGGCATTCACTGACATGAACTGCGAACTACATCCGTCCGTAAGGACGCGAATTCTACGCTTATGCAGGAAGTCAGCCACCCAGGCGCAGAGCTGAGCAGGCAGATCATTTCATTTTCACACATTACATTGGTCCAGGAGGCGGTGGGAAATAAGATTAATATGATTCGGAAATTAATTTATTGGCATTTTGTAATGTGGATCTAGGCGATGTTCCAGCTGTAGCCTAGGTAAGGAAGCACACTTACAAGTATGTAAGTGTACTTCATTACATAGGCCATCATAAAGTATTATAAGCCTAGCTGGCAGAGAGGCAGTGGGAAGTAAGTTTGATGTGATTTCACATAGACATTTCAGCTGTAACTTTAGTGCTACAGTTAGTGTCTCCAAAAAGTAAAACTCTTTGCGCTCGTTTTGATGTAATCAAATAAATGTCTGTATCATATTACGTTTCCGTGCGTAATGACTTTAAATATCTAGCAAATTCTTGGGGACACATTACCCCTAATATTATACTTGACATTTGGATGGTTTCCATACATAGTTTGATATAAGTATTGAATAACATCGAGAAAGGAAAGGCTTTTCCAAAACTAACCTCTAAGGGCAGGGCTTTCTACCAAACTGTCTAGAGCTCAGGTGCGAAAACATCGTTTCCCAGCTGGCCCGGGGCCAGCAGGAAGTAAGATTAATGTGAGTTTCAAGATATTAATCATATTATTTCTTCTGAAGCTTAGTGTTGTTGTGGTTTAGCCCGTAAATTCTGAATCGAAAACTGAACATAAAACATTTCATAAATCGTATTTCAAGTTTTACATGCAAAACTTAAGAAATAGTAGTCAAATATGAATTTCATCATAGTACGTAGTAAAAAAAAATCACGTGCCGAGTTCCCTTTTATAATGGGTAGTTTGCAGTTTAAATAAAAGCTCCTTTTTTAGACAGTTCTTTAAAGTTATACTGCAATTAAGTTTTCATTCTTCATCAACGATCTTCATCATTATAAGTCCACTGCTTGTGCACATGCCCTCCGTATGGATTGAATAGGAAGTCCAATCTATTGGATTGCTAATAATTCCAAATGCAGCAGAGACCAAAAGCTTAACGTGTTTTTAAAAAACCGGTCATTCCTAAAATTTATTATCTTTTATGACATCATATAGCGAACGCCTTATACTGCGCTTGTATTGAGAGGCTGGATGGCGCAGGTGGTATGGCATTCGGCCTGCGATCGGCAAAGTTAAGCAATTTTGATTGGATGGGTGACCAAACTCCTATTATCTCGAGCTCCTCCGTGCTTCGAAAAGCACGTTAAGCCGTTGATCCCGGCTGCATCTGCAGTCGTCTGCACCCATCAAACCGCACTGGGCTTGCGTTGTGGATCACGGCCCAGTCTCCCTATTCCATCCACAGGGTAGGCCTGTACCCCAGCAATGGGTATATTAACAGGCTGATGATATGATTTCTAAATTTTATTATCTTTCATCACACGATTTAGGGAACGCGTCCTATTGCGTTATCGAGCTCTGATATTGTGCTTACATTAATTTCTCCAAAAGGTTATCTTCGGTGGTGGTAGAAGAAATTTCTTGCCAAGAACAGAGAAAGATAGCGAAGGTTTCAGAGGACACAGAAGCGATGGCAATAATCTCATTAAAGAGTGGCTCAATAAGAAGGCATCGTATGGAGTTCCAGCTAAATATATCCAGAATCGTTTAGAGCTACTGACCTTGAAAAATTCTGACTCGGACGTGCTAGGTCTGTTCTCACCAGACCATATGCCTTACCATCTCGAAGCGGGAGAGGACGATCCAACCTTGAGCGAAATGACAGAGAAAGCGATAGAGATACTATCGCGAAACAAAAACGGTTTCTTTTTGCTCGTCGAAGGTAAGCATTGATACTGATTCATTTGATTTGAGTACAAGTTTTTTACTACTTGTATATAAGTTGTATTTTTATTTATTCGTACAGGTTTTTATAATCTCATAGGATAGGAGTTGAGTGATCCTTTATATGGATAACTAATTTATATTTTCATAAAATTATATACCTGGTAGTCACACGTATCAAAGTAAAAGATTACCTAATTACACTAATATTATAAAAGCGAAAGTTTGTGAGTGTGTAAGTCTAAACGCCTGAAGAGGTTTTAATATAGTTCGGAGACTAGTTAGCTGACACACTGGATTAATACATAGGCTACGTTTTACTGCGGGATATCATCCCTAAACCGCAGGGCACAGCTAGTTTAACAATATACCTTAAGTACGCGACGGTTGCGTTATTTGTGCCGATCCCTTTCTACTTATTGCTTTGTTACTGCATAATTTGATTTCACCTGTACCGCATCAGCAAATGTATCCCAGGCTGCTTGAAAATGATTTAATTTTTTAATTCTTAGGGGGTAGAATAGACACAGCTCATCACGAGGCCAAGGCTCGGAAAGCTTTAGACGAAACAGCCGAATTGGCCAAAGCCGTGGAAGCCGCTTTGCTCGCAGTGGACCCTGAGGAGACCCTCATAGTGGTCACTTCTGATCACAGCCACACAATGACTTATAGTGGTTACAGTAAACGAGGCACCGATATTTTAGGATTTACCAATAAGGTGAGTTCAAATAATATTCTTGTCTTCAGTACACTTAGCATGAACTAATATGGTATTCGAATAGTTGCTATTAATTTTGTTATTAATGTATTAACGTGGACACGTGTTTGAATTACTTGAATTACATGACATGATTCTATGAGCTTGAAGGCGAAGTAAAATGTGATTAATAGGCAATCTCAACATGTAATTATAAATAATTAGCACAATAGTTCATTATAACACCAACTCTGTATATATTTCAGGCGAATGCAACGGACAGTTTGCCTTACACGATACTGAGTTACGCTAACGGCCCTGGATACCGGCCGGATAGACAGAACATACTCCTGGATGATATAAGTGAGTTTATACGGCACATTATTTTTATTAAAATTAAAACATTAACAGCAGGCGGTTGTTTGAATTCAACATATTTTTTATATGCAATACCATTTATTTAAATCTTATATAATTATAAGTACCAACAATCTTAACGTCACTTAACATCAGGTGGGGTGGAGCCATTTGTCGGATCTATCTTTGAATATATATATATATTAGTTATTATTGGTTTATAATTCAGGTATTTAGTTAGGGATTCAATAAGACATAAGTTTAAAGAAATAGGTATATTGACAGTTGCATCACAATACATATATCGCACCTTTATTCTAATACTGTCATTATCATAAAATAAAATTAAAATACAGGATTTGAAGTAATGTGTAGATTCATAACGTAGCAAATAGATGGCGTTGTAAACTATTTTTTGAAGAATTTTGTTTAATGACAGTATTGGAATAAAGGTGCGATATGATAACATAGTGTTTGTAAAAAAAATATTAATTTATTTACTAAAAATAGTGAAATACATACACTTAATACTAGATGTAAAAATAATTAAACTTTACCTGCTACTAGGCTCCACAAAATTAATAATTCCTTTAGAAGTCTTTGTGTTCGCTTTTACAATAAAGTCCCAAGCAATATTCAAGAGTTAAGCCTGACTAAATTTAAATCGACTATTAATAAATCACTTGTTAAGAAAGCTTATTATAAAGTGTCTGATTATATTACAGACAAAAATGTTTGGGTAGGAACTGTTCCAACCATTCCAACGGGTATTTCTATATGATAATAAAGTTGATAACTTAAGGAAGATTATCAGACTGTTTAAGAATATTTGAATGACAAAACGGCGTGGTCGTGATTTCTCCATTGCTTTGCTTTTGAAATTGCTTGGACACCGGTACTACAGATAAATAACTTTAATTTAAGTAAATATGTTGTAGTAAGTATGGGTAGTTATCGGTAGTCATGCTCTCTTTCTCTTTCTTCTTTCTTCGGCGGTGTCGTGTGAGACGGGTCGTTACGTTCCCTAAAATATGGTTGAGAGAATCGATGGCTGGTTGATGCATCATGCAACTTCCTTGATATTGAAGATATTAATGTTTAGTTACACTTAAGATAAAAACCACTATTTGTATTTATACACACATTTAGACACAGCAATCAAAATGCAGGTAAACAATTAATATATATTTAATCATTATATAATGAAATGTGACTTCATGAATCCTCTCTGAAGTCATTTTTCAATTTGACCACCCTGTAAATAATAAAACAGTGAGAAAAAAAAGGCTGAGTTTCTTTCCGGTTCTTCTCAGTACAAGGTCGCCCGCCGTAGATTTACGAACCGATGGCGCAGCCTAAACTGTATAAATGATTTTGATTTGTTTGATTGATTTCTGTTTCGTTCCTGACAGTAAATCAAAATACTAGAGACGAGTGCCAATACCGCGATAGTTTTTTGTGCTTAAGCCAATGTTGACAATACTAGCACGACCGCCGAGCGAAGTCAGGCAAAGTGAAGTACATACATGAGATTACCTCGTGAGGTCGCGGGTTCTAATCCCGGTGGGCCAAATGTTATTATGACGAATACGAGCATTTGCACCAAGTCATGGAGTTATTACGCATTTCTACATAAAATATTTGTATGTATTCCATCTGTTATCCTAGTATCCCATAGTAAAACCTTCCAGTGCTTGCTTTTGGGGCTAGGTTAATTGGTGTGAGTGTTGGAAATATTTATTGAATGAAACTTCTTTAGGTACGCTTGAGTTGGGGGGTAAACTGGCGAATGTGTTACGATTTCGCCTTACGATTAGTGTCATCGGTGACTAATCGGTAAATAATGAACAACGCCCGTCACAAAATACATGAATTTAGTGCTTGGTGGGTGATAACAGACCCAGCAAGGATTGGTGCGTGATAACGGACTCAGTGCGGATTGGTGGGTGATAACGGACCCAGCGCGGATTGATGGGTGATAACGGACCCAACGCGGATTTGTGGGTGATAACGGACCCAGTGCGGATTGGAGGGTGATAACGGACTCGGATTTTTGGATGATAACTGACCAAGTGCGGATCAATGGATGATAAAGGACCCAGCGCGGATTGGTCGGTGATAACGGACCCAGCTCGGATTGGTGGGTGATAACGGACCCAGTGCGGATTGGTGGGTGACAATGGACCCAGTGCGGATTGGTGGGTGATAACGGACCCAGTGCGAATTGGTGGGTGATAACGGACCCAGCGCGGATTGGTGGGTAATAATGGACCCAGCGCGGATTGGTCAGTTAAATCTTCAGGCTAAGTTTATGATTTTTAGATCATTGGAGCTATATAAAGAAGTTTCACTTCAGTCGTGTGGTCAAACACACACTCACTTTTTTTATTAAGTATCACTTTCTTATTTCTTATACGTCGACTCATACTACTGTCTTCCTCAAACAGGTTTATTATACGCATTTATTACGATTTTCAAAACTCTTACTGGACTACATAGTCATGTTCTTCTGACTTATTATGGAAAATTATCTTATTTCTATTATTAGGAATTTGATTTAAATAAAATATGATATCGAAAAAAAATTCAATCCTCTCCACCATTCATAAATTGATAACCAATTTTACGCATCTTGATTTACACAGACCAAATCGCGGATAGACCCTTTGTTGTCAAATAATGATTATGCGGTCAATGTCAAAATCTACATCACCGTGACCTTGACCCTACTACGAGTTTCCGACATTAGGCCTGACTTAGACCATGCGACTTCGCTTCCACACTTCACGAACTAAGGCGGTGGTCGCAATTTGCCGTATACTAAGCGACACAGAAAATATCTATGTACTACTTATGGTAGTTATGCTCTTCGCTACACACGCACACATTGACTGCTTTAGTAGGATTTAACCTTAGAGTCACGCACACATAACGGGAAACATGAGCCATTTTCTTTGCGTGATTTATTTGGATTTCGCTACTCGTATCTAGGCGCGTAATTAATCAAAGGCATATATTTATATATAAGTTTCGTATATCGCAATAGCCATCTATTTCGCTAAAGACATTTTCTCAGCTCTAAGGATACCTATTATACGTGAGGGTATAGGGCCAGAGTCACTTCAGCTAGTCCATAAAAGCAACTATAGCACCACATATGACTATAGTTCCAGGGCTCCACGGGGTAGAGGATTGGGTCAGGGTAGGCAACGGCGATCCCCGGCTAGTCCGGGAGGCTGCTAGGTGCCGAAACGCGGAAGAATCCCTAAACGGGGACCCCGTGGCTTCGCACTAAGCAGCTTAGAGGGCATTCGCAGGGTTTTTTAGCGGATATTATGCCGTAAAGCGGGGACGGGGACCTCAGTGGGCAGCCATTGCGGGGGCCCGTAAAACTTGCGGGAGCCAGGTGTGAGATCCGTTCGGTGGTGTGCCTCTTAAAGGCGCCATCGTCTGTAAACAGAGGTTTTGCCTGCGTTAACAAAAACAAAAAAAAGGGTCGCAAGCGTTCTAAGGCTATGGTGACTGCTTACCATCACGGGCCATATGCTTGTTTACCATCCTTTTAACATAAAAACACTCTTTTACTTTGACGTAGTTCTGTAAAGTAGTTTCCGTAAAACGCGTTTACAAAATTGTCGCACGGTAGCGTCATGAAGTACGGCACGCCTTTAGAGAAAGCATAGCGGATATCCTGCATGTATTTGAGTGCGCGTTGAAGGTTATCCTATCGTTGATTATAATAGAAAACATTTTTGTCTTCCACTCTTTTAAAATAAGTATGCGCCCAGCTTGATAACGTTTGTTATGGGTTCCCTCTATCTTGCATAATTTTGTTGCTCCGAAATTCATTTGGCATATACTTATTTTAAAGAATATTAAATAGGCATTTATATTTTTTTATTTTACCGTATTCACAGCGGTATACTTTTAAGGTGGTAGAATTTAATCGGGCATAGATTCCTTTGGCAAAATTTTATTCTGCATGATTTCGCTAAGCTTTATCGGTATTTGTAGCCATTGGGTTAGTTGGGTATTAGTGTTGTGACCTAATCTTAGCACGAGCCGAGCGAACGAAGCGAGCATGCCGCGACAGAGGCCGGCGAAACACCATTCACTATAGACTATATGATGGTTCTGCTGCAATTTATGCCTAAAGATAATTCTGGCTTACAAAAATATGCGTTTGAATGGCTGCCAAATAAGTGAATGCCAAATAATTTTCTGCGAATTGAAGTAAACTTAAAGATATGCATAATAATATTATGACATTAAAAGTTCCGCGTTACACGGTAAACTCGTTTGTAATAGCAGGCGAATTGCCGACTCTGTAAAAGTCTTTCTCCGTATAATTCGAAGAACTCCATTCTGTGATTCCTGGGGAAAATCGTGACAGGAAGTTCATTATTCTATTTTTATCTATTAAAAGTGAAAGGCATCCACTGAAATTAATTGATGTCTCCCCCATAGTCGCGTTAACATCGCTTGATAATATCGGATGCGTTTTCGGAATATTTGTTTTTATTACTTAATCTATGAGAACAGCTACTAAGTTACACGCTGCTGCGATAATAAAGACGCAATAGAAGTAAGATTAATTTCACGCCAATCTTCGCTCAGAAATGCGACACCATGTATGGAACCGGCAGTCGCACACACCAAGTGGCGTAATCAACAAGTTTAATTGGAAACATTGAATTTGAAAGCTCCGGTTTACGATTTGCTCACGTAAATTTAACTAGGTCTTGTATGACGTAAATAAGGTACTCTCATCCTTTTGAGAGTTCTCTGTTTATTTGATTACCATGGATTTACCTCATTTGGAGAATGATATATCATAATAAATTAACTTCCTACTTTTTAATTAGGGTTTCAAACATCATGAAAAATAAGATGGAGACTCTGTCTTAATTGTCAGTTCATCTGTAAAAATCCTTTTTTTCTGGAACTTGTGGTAGTATTAAGTCTAGAAACGTCAATAAATAAATAAAGTTTCGTGCATTAACCCGTAAAAACTAGTTTTATTTAGATCTATAGAAAAGTTTACTAGAAAAAAATCCACGCGGACCAGGCAGCGGACGGGACTCGAACCCGCATCCTTCGCTATCCGGGCGAATGCACTGACCATTATGCTACCACGGGCCTATTAGCCGCGTCGAAATTTTCCTAGCCTTAAGCTGCAAGGCAGCGCCATCTCTTCGCATTGTAGGTAACCCACAATGTCCATCTAGCAGTTAAATGCTTAAAAAATAAATAAAATCATAACTATAATTGCTATTTCTTCTTTCAAATGTTTAATACTTGAAAAAGTATTCATTTGACATTGTGAGTTACCTACAATGCGAAGAGATGGCGCTATGAAAGGATTTTGATCAATTCTACCCCGAAGCGAAGCGAGGGCGGGCCACTAGTTAACTAATAAATTAGATCATCTGTTCAGTCTTAAAAAAGATTTGGTTGTTTTTCATGTCCATCTTGTACCATTTGGTTTAGAAAGATGGTACAAGTAAATCCTGTCAAATGTTCGACTGTATGTGCCAAAAGTAGGAATATTTTATGTAAATACATACGTAGATAAATAAGGTTCATAATTGTGAATAAATTTGGCCACACTGAACTGTGGGAACAGGGAACCATTTTTTATTTAAGAAATCCCCTATCAATCATCCCCCAGTAAAACAACCCCCAAGAAGTACAGGGTTGTACAGCATCCAAAAGATATGAAGAATGTTTTTTTATGTTATATATTTGGATATTTATGTCGACACTCGCAAGACAATAATAAAGTATTCGCTTTGACGAAGAATTGCGAAATTTGTATCGAAGCAAAACAGCGTAATTGAAAATTCCGTACAATACCTACTTACGAGTTTTTAAATAACCCTCAGTGCGAAAGCTCTACTGGCACTTAGAAGTATTTTTTTTAAATCTCTTTAAGTTTTACTTTAAGAAAACATATTTAGGTATAATGTTAATTTCTTATACCTAGATCTATAAAACGTCAAGATTTTGCTGAAAGCCATAATTTTCCAAGGAGGCAGGTGCTATCATCATTATGTAAACAGCTATTTCATCCCTGCTAAAACAGTCATCACTGTTTGTGCCTACTATTTTTTTGCTACATTTTTGAACCATCGTGCTTGCATCTTTAACTGTTGTGACACCTGGCGCTTAGGCCGTTTACCCTTAGTTATCATTTATTTTTATATAAAACTAGCTAGTTTTATATAGTTGTATCCATACGTCGCTGGTTCATATCCGGCTCGAAGGACCAAATGTATCGGCGTTATGCGTACTGTTCAATAACGAAAATTGTTTGTGATTCCGAACTTTATGTGAGAGTTCGAAAATGAAATAGACTAGAGTCACTGGTGAAATTTCATTTAAAATACGTTCGTTGCTGAAATTTCGTTTCGGAGAAAGAGAGTAAAGCTCCAGTTATTTCTTGAATAATGCGTATATTGCGAATATAATTACAAAATAAATACATGAAACGAAAATTGCGAAAGAAAAGTTTAGTGTAGCGTACAAAATTTGAATTGCGTAGAGAGTGACATGTGTTGAGGGGGGGTTTTTGATCACGTGGGTCAAAGCTGCTTCTACTGGTAGAAATGTAGCGACGTTCCAGTGCAGACAGAACTTCTTAATCATACGTTAACTATAGTCTTATATAGAAATAAATGATAACTATGTATACACAGATGATAACGGGCATAGCTCTGCCAGCGATTTCGAGTGGACGTTGGAAAATAAAAATATGAACTTTGGCAGGTAGGTTAGGTTAGTAAATGCTTCTTGCATTTTCTTTAGGTTAGTTAGTATTTATTTGTAAACGATATTATGTAATTAGGAGTCAGTGGGGTCGAGCCATGTGGGGCACGGTGTACTGGTAATATAATGATGATGAAGGTTAACGAAATAAGGTCCCATACCGCCGTTTATCTTAGTGTTGCCGCACACGGGCCACCGACCACAACCACAAAACGCCGCCATCGGCATATTTCTTGTAGTTTTCATACATTTTATATGGACTCGCCACACACGGTACGCCGGTGGCCGCCACACGCTACAAATCGTCGCTTTTTGTGGCCCGCACTGGCCACTTAACAAAACGCCGCCACACGTCACTCGCGCGATTCCCCACCCCTCTCTCCCTTACCTTACTCGGCCGCTGTCGCGTGCTTCAGCCACTTTAGTAGCCATTTCTAGCTTCCCGTGGCGGCGTTTGTGGCTGTGGCGTGTGGCCCGTGTGCGGCGACACTAAATCTCCCTGACAACCGTTTTCCATCATATAAAATTGGGGTCGTGGGGACATTCCTAAAAACTGTATTACGGTACCCCTAGCACGAACCATTATCGAATTCGAATAGTTTGCGAGTGCAAAATATCATTGTCAAATGTGTTCTGATTTTTAGTTCTCCTCACGCCCGTTTTGGCGCTGCTGTTCAAGTTTCCATACAAAATTTGACATTGACATTTCGTACTCGTAAACGTTACGAATTCGATATCGGTTCGTACTAAGAGTACGGCTCTATACTGTATCCTGTTATGCCTAATTAAAAAAAACTTTAATAATATAACGTTCTGGGGCTTCGCTTAAACTTCCATCGTCTAGTGCCTACAAATAACACAATTTTTTCTCTTCACAGATAACTTGAACTACTCATACCCATCATCCGTCCCAATGGTACGAGAGACCCACGGCGGTGAGGACGTGGCAGTATTTGCAAAGGGTCCATGGGCCCACATATTCTCAGGGAACTACGAACAGAACTACATACCGCATGCTATAGCATACGCGTCCTGCATTGGGCCTGGATTCACGTATTGCAAAGTATGATCAAGAACAGATATGGAGACTAGTTCCAATGAAAGTGAAAAAACTTTTCGGAATTAAATACCAAAAGGTGGATTTTAGTGATGAATTTAACATTATAAGTGACTTAATTGTGTTTTTCGTGTTAGTACGTCGGCGTAAATTATTGCATAGTTTGTAAGTTAGGGTTACTATTAGAGACCTTATGTATTATTTCAGTTTGAACAAAGTTGACCCTATGATATCGCAAATGAGTAAAAAAACGCATTTGCTTTGTATAAAGGCACATTGTTAATATTTATAAGGAAAAACCAATTACAAAATCAATTCCACGTGTAATACAATACTATACCAGTACGTTCGGTTCTGTAACATGCAATATATTTTACTGTCGAATTTCATCTTTCGATTGCTGGCTCAACAGATATTGCGGCATTTTGCCAGGTAATGACGTAATGCATATTATTTTACTTTAATATTAATTATAATTAGGATATTTTAGACATTTTGAGCTAGCGAACTCGACAGTGAGATTTTGGTTTACAGATTTATTTATAAGTAATACAGTATTCAATGTGAAGCGAAGTATTAAATGGAGATAAAAGTTGACAGACGAAAGAGAATATTTCTTAATTAGATTTTTTGTTGAGGTCTTGATTGTAGTAGTTTTTCTAAACTGACAGTTACAGAGCAAAATGTTATAGGCGAGCGTAAAAAATGATTTAGTCTTTTTCACGTAAAAGACGGTAGCATAACTTGAAAGTGCGATCGTTAAATAAAGAATATTGACCACAGATATATATTGAATGAACTGAGTGTGATATGTAATTTCGTCTTTCCCACATTTATCTGCATATAAAACTAGGCATATAAATGTGTGAGAATGACAAAGTGATCGTGCAGCGAATAAATAGTTCGTAAAAATAATAAATAAATAAATAATAACTAAATATTTTCAACACTCACACCAATTAGCCTAGCCCCAAAATAAGCACAATAAGGTTTGTGTTACGGGATACCAGGGTAACGGATAGAATACATATACTGTTCATATTTATGTATATTTTTATAATGGCTGCAACATTGCTCTCTCTTTTTCAAGAGAAGTATTTTTAACGCGTGTGTCGCTCAATCCTTTCTTTATGTCTGTCGTTTTGCCAAATTTTAAACCTAGTAGTAACTTTGGTGTTTGTTATAGAAAACTTGGCCTAACACTATACTATGTTACGTAAGTATTTAAACCGTAAAATGTTAACAATAAAATTGGTGTCGATTCTGGCATGATTCTCTAAACCTAAACGTAAATTTGACAACAGTGTATCCTTGTCATTCTCCATACAGAATGAAAAGGAGAGACTGATGTTAAATTTAGTTTTAAGTTTAGAGAATCGTGTCAGAATCGATACCAATGTCTGTCTAATTTTAAGAATTATAATGTACAGGAAACCCAACATTAAGTTACCACACACTGTCAAATTTTCGCAATTTATTGTGAATTTTATATCAATTCATAATATAAAGCTCAAAATCGTTGGAAACAGTTTAAAGTTTTGGGTAACTTGACCTGTGCTTGTCTGTATACCAAATGTCTTTTTTTGTAGGTAAGTATATTTTTCTTCAATATTTATGTTAATATAATATATAATTGTATGATGTTTAGCTCAATTATGAAATTAAATACAAAAACTGCCTTAATTATATAAGTTAATGTATTGAATGCGCCTTATTTCTATTTATAATATATATATTTTATAGTATATTCTTAGAGACATTTTTTTTGTGAATATTATAAGAAATAAATATATGAACAAAATTCCTGTTATAATGCATATATTTAATAGATTTGTATCTTAGGTTTTCGCTCACACCACTCATTAAATAAAACAAGTTTCAACGGTACAGATGCACTGATTAATTTATTTATAATATTTCGCGTCCTGAAAAGGATGTGAAACGTCATAAGTAAATAAATCAGTACATCTGTATTAAGGCTTTCAGTCTCGATACATTTTCAAGTCCCGGGAAAACGAGACTTTCGAGACTTTGAAAATAAGTTTTATACTCAAGGTTTATACAATTAGGCAAATACTACAATATGTTTCAATTAAGCACTTTAAAAATCAACTACTACAATATAATCAAATATAAGTAAAATTCACATTTTTAATTTTTATGATAGGCACGCAGAAAGCAAAGGGCATTCAAAGTGTTTTCAGATAGAGAGGATCTGATCTTGTTGCAAAAGTAACCTGCATTAGAAAAAGCTCTAGTAGGGAGGATGGATAACAAATAGTTATAGCACTGATTACCTCTGTCGCCACGAACTAGGTTGTACTAAGGAACACATCGTAGCTATATATTTCACACTTTTTATAAAGAAACAATACGTGAAGTTGTGAAAGTATTGTGTTTGAGGTTAGGTTGCAATCTCTACAGATTATCCTAACTTTCACTTTAAAGTGTTGCCATGTAACCAAATTTAAAAAAGAATGGTATATGGGGTAGTTTAGTAGATATTTAGTAGATTGGTATTTTTTGTAGATTATTTAACTAAGTCTCGAAAACTGGAGACCTCAGTCTCGAGTGCGAAACTGCGTCAAAATCGTCGAGACTCTCGGAATTTTCGAGACCGAGACTCCCAGGATGAAAGTCCTAATCTGTACCGTTGAAACTTGTTTCACATATTAAATAATTAAGAAAAGACTTGTTGTGCCTATGTTACAATATCAAAGCTTGGTACTTAATATTTTCTTTGATTGGTAGTCTCATTTTGTTTAATATATTACTAAAATATATTAAACAAAATGAGAAAGACCTGATAATACGTGTATCATACGTGACGTGACTACGAATACTAATTATTCTTTCATTTCATTTCCTGTCGACAGTTTACTTACAAAACAACAACAAAAGGATGCGAAACGTCATAAATAAATAAATCAGTGCATCTGTACCGTTGAAACTTGTTTCATATCACACTAATATAATAAAGGCGAAAGTTTGTGAGTGTGTATGTTTGTTACTTCTTCACGTCTAAACGGTTCGAGCGATTTTAATAAAATTTGGTATGGATTTAGCTGACACCCTGGATTAACACATAGGCTATGTTTTACTGCGGGAAAATATCACTTATAAACCGCGGGTAACACCGCAGGACACAGCTAGTATTAAATAATTAAGGAAAGACTTGTTGTGCCTATGTAACAATATCAAAGCTTAGTACTTAATATTCTCTTTAATGGGTAGTCTTATATTACTAAAATATATTAAACAAAATGGGAAAGAGCAGATAATATAGAAGTGCGTGTATCATACGTGACGTGACTACGAAAACTAATTATTCTTTCATTTCGTTTCCTGTCGACAGTTTACTTACAAAACAGTTTTGTTTATACGAACTAGTTAGGCTAGGCTAGTTATAAGAACTTTTTTGAAGGTTACGTGGACTCGAATTAAATATATATGTAGGTACATAAAAATAGTTAAAGCTTAGACAAATTATAAAGCATAATGGTCGTACTGGAAATTAAATATATATTTACAACTGTACACACATTCACGCACTTACTCTCTATCTCACACAGACACACACACACATTCATACACACACACACTCATACAAATACACCTGATACTTTAAGGAATTAGTTGTTATGTGCTCAAAATTTGTTAACTGCACTAGGCTAAGAGCGAGGCATCCCAACACAAGTATTAATTATTACTTTCTGGGTTGTCTCAACTTGTACTGTAAACTGACTCTTTGGGAAATAAAAACCATTTTCATTTCATATTCTCCGTCATGCATGTTATAAGTCGATGTTATTAAAAGTTTGACGGAATTTATCTTTTATCGTATAATGCAAATATGTAAAACTTGAAAACTGTTCACTGTTACTGTATTATAAATTTATTATTGCTTAGTTTGTATTAAGCGTCGTGTAACATTTAAAATACGTACGAACGGGTATCGTCCTCCTTCTCTTCAGTGCCAGCCCATTACTTAAGTTCAGCAGTTAATTAAATGAAAAAACTAAAGAAGGTATTTATTGAGTCCAATATTTTTCCCTACCATTACTACCCATTCAGGACATCTTTTAGCTGATGAGAAAAATGGGCGCAAGAAACTCTTCAGTATTTAACAGAAGTAGCAACATTTACAAAAATACAATCATGTCGCTACCAATACAACGTCCAATCACATTTTGATTGCTGTGTCATACAATATAAATACAAACAGTGTTCTCTTTTCTTGTATAAAAATCTATAATAAGTTATCACGCTTGATAACCGAACTTAGTTTGCCTAAAACAAAAATAAATAAATACGCACTAGAACAATAAGGCAGCCCTTTGGATAGCTAGACTAATTCTTTGTCCCCCAAAGTTAAGTAAAGTTTAAATCTAAATTAAATTTAAATTGTCAGTTACCTCCAATGCGAAGAGATTGCCTTGCAGCTTAAGAAAATTTAAAATTAGGTAACCCATAATGTGGAACCTATACCTTTACAAATTAAACATTTGCAAGAATAAATAGCAATTGTAGTTATATTATTTAAGCATTTATTTACCAGATACCTAAATCTAAAGATTTTTTTAACTAGAAAAACTGCTCGCCCTAGGCAGCAGACAGGACTCGAACCCGCACCTATCTGGGCGGATGCACTGACCATTATGCTACTGCAGCACTAATGGCCACCAAGAACAAGCGAACAAGCGATTGATAACTATTAAGTGCGTAAACTAAAGGTTGTAATTTTATTTCAATCTTTTCATACAGGCTTTTTTTTCTTTGCAACAGCCTTCAAATATATTAATAGTGTTTGCTACTGTTCTGGAAATATAGATAATTGTTATTGCTATTTTCTATTGTTATGCGCCTATCCTTAATGTACTTAAGTAAACAAACCTATTGTGAGTATATTTTTGTAAATAATAAACTTCATATTTTCTTATAAGCAAAGTGCTCGTACATTTGTATTATATATTATTCAGTACCCACTCCAATATTCCTTTAGAATAGACGTTCATTGTTTAAATGATTTTTTCTTTAGAGAAAAAAAAATACATTTAAAGGTCGTTAGAAAGTAGTTGAGCTTGCTGCCAATTGGGCCATTATTTCAGATAACATCAAAATATTTGTTTATATATTTTATTATGGATGTGAACACCCATATTTATCGTAGTTTTCATAGTTTCAGAGATCGATAAGGCTTATCTACAAAAAGAAAACTCAAAAATCATTTTATAAAACTAACGAAAGTGATCCAATGACCACGAAAAAAGACACTCATAAAAATAGGCTTTCTTCTAATTTATACCTATATTTAGTCTTAGCTTAAGCTGGACATACCAAGAGAAACCATGATTTCTTACAGATCAACTGATAAAGATTAATAAACTTATAATAAAAAAAAAACAATCTTTTGACCACGAAATTGATGTCATCTTATGTTACCTCAAAATGTATTATTTATTAACAAGTTATAATCACGCCGAATCCGAAAAGTAACACCTCTTTATTTCTTTAACGAGGGTATGGTGCACCTTTATATCACGCATCAAGAGTAGTGTTGAAGAATTTGCATTCTTCAACATTTTAGTAAATGGCGAGCTTGCTGAACTGGCTGCACTCGCATACCAGATTCTCTCCTTCTGAAGTTTCAAATGGAGATGCTGTGCCTGCTGCACTTGCTGCACCCGCGTCAAGGCTTATCTGGATCCTCTCGATTCGAAATTTCAGATGGAAATGGCGAGTCTGTTGCACTCGCTGCATCCGCACCCAAGACTGTATACAGATCCTCTAGTTGTGAAGTTTCAGATCGAGATTGCGAACCTGCTTCACTGGCAATATCTGCGTCCAAGACTGTATCCGGATCCTCTCGTTCCGAAGTTTCGGATGGAGATAGTGACCCTCCTGAATTGCGGTGTGTGTGTAAGAAGGCACTATCGGTCTTAAAATGTTAGACCTCAGCGATCTAAAATAGTTGCAGAATAGTTACAAAGTTTTAAAGTAAGGAATAAACAAAAGATGCAATCTGATAAATGGCACAGCCCGTACAGATTGTTTAAAAC